ATATAAAATATGAATATTTGAAGTCTATATAATATCAAATTAAAAAAGGTTGGTTATGAAATGGCATGATAACTGCATCGTAGGTGGGCAGAAGGGACCCCAGATATGATACATGCATTGCTGGTGGGGCAAAAGAGACCCCAGATATAATACCTGCATAGCATGTGGGACAAAATGGATTTCTATTTAATTCAATGACAATAATGTTAGGTTTACCTCGGCTCCATTGAACATTCTTATGAAAGTTTAACCAATTCTTTAGAAGACTAATATTGATATTCTATACATACTTTAAAAGAATTAAAGGTTAATCCTAAATAAATTTTGTGAAGTTTTGCAAATAATGATATGTTTATTCAATTATGATTTCAATGTTGTGATTTCTTATAAAATTAAATTTAAAATATTATTTAATTTGCATGACTTTATGAGCCTCATAGCTCATCAGTTCTTTTATATTGATTGTTGTTACAGGAAAGATAAAGAGAAAGTGGAAACCGATTAAGCAAGTGTTGGAAACTTTAAGTTTTATGTTTAGAAGTGTTTGAGATGTCTTCTTACAAGGTATGTAAGTTGTTTAGATGTGATGAAATATTAAGATTTTCTTAGTGGCTCTGTATGTATTGTTGTGATGTAATTGGAATTAGATGCTTCTGTCCATTCAGTAAATATAATTGTCAAGGGATATTTTATGCAAATATTCAAATGATATAAAAGTTTCATATGTTGAGAATGAAAGTTATGTTCATTTATGTGGCAATCTGCGTTATTGATCAAGGGTATCATGGGATGTTACAAGCTTTCTCCTTTCTTCAACTAAAAAGGCCAACATCAATAGATATTTCTAGCAAGCACTAATAAGTCTACTTTCTAGGTCTGCTATTATTAGTATATCATCACCTTGAAAATATTTTTTAGTAGAAAAGTATTTTCTTCTTATGTGACCTGACACTAATAAAATCATCGAGTTACTATACATGCCTATCATGAAGGTATAAGACTTTGAAGATGACTTGCTAAGTTGAACCATTCGCATGTCATGTCATTGATGTAGTCCTTAGTGATAGCGAATTTCAAGATGTACTAGAAATCATTATTCATCCATGATCCTTTTTTAAGTCAAATCTAAAGAGTAATAATTTGAATGGGGTAGCATGTCCAACCCTAACTTCTACATCAACTTGGCAGAAATAAGATTTTTCTGGTTGTCAATATCAATGATGGTATTGATTATCTCTTCACTGACCTATATTCTTAGAGTGAACAACTCCCCTCCTATACACATCTTAGACCATTTTTATAGCATTCAAAACTTTTATTAGAGATAAAGGCAATCTATCATGTTCATTGAACTCAAAACATAGCAACTGTTTTTGCTTTCCCATCTTTTATTTTCAAAGAAGAATTCAGGGTAAATTTAGCAATATTTTAATTGATACATGTCGGACACTACATATCTCTCTGAAAAGAAGTGTCAAAGCATCATAGGCTACACGTGATAGTGTGTAGTTCATATTAAAGTCAAAAATAAATATAATCATCAATATGAATCATGCTAGATGTCTCAGTGCAATACCTTAAGTCATATCACATGCCACTAATGAAGCCTCAATATCACCTAGATATCAAGCCGGGTGGTTGGATTACATCATAGGCTACACGTGATAGTGTGTAGTTCATATTAAAGTCAAAAATAAATATAATCATCAATATGAATCATGCTAGATGTCTCAGTGCAATACCTTAAGTCATATCACATGCCACTAATGAAGCCTCAATATCACCTAGATATCAAGCCAGGTGGTTGGATTATTGTCTTGCTCTTCCCTTAATCCTAGGTTTTCATCCATAGAGTGATGGATAAAAGATGGAGATGAATATAAATGAGGAAGCAATTTTCCATGTAAGTAAGATCAATAAATTTCTTGAGGTGCTATCCATTGAGAGACTCAACATATTTAAAGATTATGGTGTGGTATTGGAGTTAGTTCTATACATAATTTCTTAGAGCACACCATAATCATCATTAGCTATATCCCAACTATTAAAATTGGCTTTATAAAAGTAAAATAAGAAACAAATTTTGTATATCAAATGGCAAAGTCAAAATTAATAAATGTGATTTGATTTACGACTAAATGAGCAGTGCAAGCTTTTTTGACTCAAAAGACTGTCCAATCAAATATAACAGGACTGCAGGAGCTATGGTCACAAGAATGCTAGCGTAACTCAGTGCTTTTCGACCCAACAAAGGTTATCTAGTTTGAAATTAAATCATGAGTTATACGTGAATTCAAACTCCAACAAGTTTTTATGTAGCTCTTGGTAATTTAAATTAGAGCAATCAAAATAAAAAGAGAAAGCATGATCAGCATCATTGATGTAGTCTGCGCCAGCAGAAAATTTGGTAGTTACTTTAATGAAAGAAAATGTTGATTATTACTTACATCAGTCATTGACACAATTCTATCACCTTGTTAGTGTATCACAAGTCTAGCATCCAAATTATACCTCATAGAAAAAAAAAAGCTGAAGATTCATACACCAAAACTTTCCTATTTGCAACAGAATATAATCCAAAGAATGGACAAATTTTAATCTACTAAAATACACTGCCAAGTGCAGGTTAGCTGGTAGTTGATAGCAGCAGATGTTAAAACATGCTAATGAAGATTTTGAACTTTGCTAGGGTTTCTGCATAAAGCCTAATTTCATCAATTTACAGACTCTATATCTATCGTTTTACGGCCCCTAGAACTTGCAATCGATGCAAGCGTATTAACAACTCCAAACTCGAACAATAAGTAAACTGATCGAAGCAAGTAGAGAGATGAATAGCATAAACAAGGATGGATGAAAGATAAACATTACCTCCGTCATGTTGGAAAACAAGAAGAATCTTCTGAAAGCGGGTTGAAACCTCGGAAAAAAAGGCTTTCGAGTTCGATCAAGGATCTTTAGATCCTTTTTCTTGAGGCTATTATTTGGAGAACCAGGTAGTAAGATAGTATCGGAAAGTTATTTCTCCACTCTGAATCCGATAAAAAAAACCCCACCTCCTTCGTTAACGGGAGAGATGTTGCCAGAAACTGCGAAGGCTCAAGATCGTACCTTGGAACGAACCTCCGCTCTATTTGCGATTTTAATATTTCATCGAAGCAGGCCTGAAATCTCTCAGCTTTATTTTGTTTATAAATCAGCTGTAATTTAGTATTTTATATACGAAGAAAAAAAAACATTTTTTTTATTTTTTATTGTAAATAATAAAAGTGGTTTGGAAATTAGTTCATTCGTGTTCATGGGTCCGATTTAGGTGTGATAATAAGGCTTGGGACAGATTTTTTTTACTGGTTTTTTAAATAATATTTTAGTAACAAAATTTTAAATTAAATTTTTTTATTAAAAATTTAGTTTAAAAATTTATCTCAATACCTTCGAAGAACCTCTGCTCTATTTGCGATTTTAATTATTTATGGAAGCAGGCCTGAAATCTCTCGACTTTATTTTGTTTATCAATCAGCTGTAATTTAATATTTTATATACGAAGAAAAAAATAACATTTTTCTTAATTTTTATTGAAAATAATAAAAGTGGTTTGGCAATTGGCAGCTCATTCGTGTTCATGGGTACTGTGATAATAAGGGCAAATTATTATGTGCGGACATCACATGCAAGTATGTGTCCGAATTTATTATTTTTTTACTGTATTTTTTATATATTTTTACAAAAGGACAATTAACACAAAATTTTAATTAGATATTAGCTGTCATTTTGCTGACTTTTTATTGAGTATTTAAAAAGCACAGCAAATACTCAATGAGTAAGATATTTACTGCGCTTTTGCTATATTTTTATAAATACTTAACAAAAAAACAGCTAATATGCAATTAAAATTGTGTATTAGTTACCCTTTTGCAAAAATACATCAAAAGCACAACAAAAGCTTTAGCATGATGACCTTATTTTGATTTTTTTAAGATTTAACTTTAGCATGATGCTTTGGCATTAGTTAGCTATTTATCATTCCATATTTTTCATTAATTTAAAAGTTTAATTAATAAGCTTATGCCTCAACATATCTTGGGGTTTTGCGCCTCATGTCCCAAAAAAAAAACTCTCGATATTCGATCACGCAATTCCAAATATTATGTCTAACCCGACACATGTACAATCAATTTGAATTTGGCACATTTATTAAACTGATAAGAAACTATATATCTAAATTCGATTGAATCAAATTGAAACCAAACATAAAAAATATTTAAGTTGTGATAGATTAATGTCAACCCAAATCAAAGTGAACATAACTATTCGAATTGAACACAACAAATTGGAAGAAAACATTAGCAATTATGCCATCATATGAGTTTTTTCATGAAAAGAAAAATCAAATAATTGAAGTTAATATTTTTAGAACTTAGTTACTTATTTTGTACAAATGTGATTATTTTCTACTTTATTTTATTATTATCCACAGCCATGCAATATATTATAGAGATTTTGTTATATATACATTTTAAACATTAATTAAAAGGAAATTATGTATGAATATATTTTCAATTTAGTAAAAGCTAATTAGTAACTATGATGTCTATTAGTAATTAAAAAACAAAGGTATAATAAGTTAGATATTGGATTTGGTTTGTCACCATCTAACATGGTATGCTACCAATCCACTAGATGTTCTTTACCCAATAAGATCCTATTTCAGTTTCCTCACTTTTTTGCTTCAAGAGTTTTTCAAGAAGTCAAGAAGGAGCGTCACTAATAGGGGAAATTATTGCATCTGGTCACCGGACGCGGAGATAAGTCCGAATATTAATAAAATATTATTTTAAATTAAGCGCGTCAAAAGCGTAGGTAAAGCGCATGTAAAGTGCAAGTAAAGCGTAGGTAAAGTGCAGATAAAGCGCAGGTCAAAGCGCAACTAAAGTGCAACTAAATCGCAACTAAAGCGCAGGTTACGTGGCAAATTTTTATTGGATGTCCGAACATATTCTTCGCGTCTGGTGACCCGATGCAATAATTTGCCCAATAGAGTAATTAAGTGTTAGTTTAACAAATAGATAATATGATTAGTTTATTATGTAAACATAATGTTTTAAGTATTTTACATTCGAATCCTCTGATAATAAAAAATGCAATTGATGATATGCTTTGATGAGATTTAGACACATAAGTTCAAGTCAAGCTTTGCTTATTGCATCATGAGAATGAATGGTAGTGTTGCAGGCTAGGATATTGGTGGAGGTAAAATACTAAAAATTTTACGTCTTAGCGTTGCACGAGTATCCAACTCACAAATAAAACAAAATAGAAACACAAAATTTTTTTACGTGGAAAACCCTAAAGGTAAAAACCACGAGGCTACACCTAGTTTAAATGAATCCAATAGTGCTTGAATAGATTACAAATGATTGATTCATCCTTAATTTTGAGGTTGACATATTATAATATTCAATTGACGGGTTAAAATCGAGCGACGAATAGAGATTGGATGAAATTCAGGAGAAGATCGGTGGCCTTGCCTAAATCCGGCATCAATTGGTGGCTGGGTGGAAGTCCAACGGCAGCTAGTGGTTGGGCGAAAGTCCAACGAAAATCCAATGACAGTCGATGGTTGGGCGGTAGTTGAGGAGTTGGTGGCAAAAGAACTTTGATTTCTCTTCCTTGCCTCTCCTCCTTCATTTCCTCCTCTTCCTTGCTTGTGTCCTCCATCAATAAAGAATGAGGGGTCTATTAATAATTTTTTTTATGTGGCGTGACCAGTAAATATGGAGAATATCAATGACATGTTGGGAGTATTTTTAATGGATGACCAATATTGAGTCTGTCAGTTTGGTAGTGGACCATCTATCGAATATTTGAGTTTTCTAATGATATCAGAATTTGACGATCTTAGGTTCGCTAGATTCGCCTCAACGAGCTGCTCGATTCGACTATAAGCATGTTATATTTGGAAATCGTTTGATTGTCCAATTTATGATTTGAACCTTCAAAATGTGCTTCGGATCTTCGATTTGGACCCATTTGGACTCGAATTTAGTCGAATTTGGAGTCATTGGGTTTGTCTTTTTGAGATTTTTAGTTTGACTATAAGTTTATTGAAATGGGAGTTCGGATGTTCCCGGATTTAATTTAGGAAGTTTTCAACTCAAATTTGCCTTGAGATTCATGTCCGATCATGATTAATTTTTGATGATATATCAAGTAGCATGCGAGGGAAGAAGAATTCATGAGAGTAGCTCATCAAGGGCATCATGTGTGTGTCACAATGTAAGTTTGTTGAAGGTATTGACAAGAGCGTAGACGTGAAAATTTTGGTTCGAACAAAAAAATAAACTATGCTCAAATCAATGTTTGAATTTTGTTCGTTAGAACTTTGATTGAAATTCGAATCAATTTCATGATATATTTTTTATACGACCTCCAAAAATTATCTTGATTGGGCACGAATCTTGATGCAAAATCAAGCCGGAAACTTCAAAAATTAAATATTGGATCACATGAACTCCGATTTCAGCAAACTTATAGTCAAACTGAGCGCCACGGAAATACGAACCCAACGACACCAAATTCGGATCGATCCGAGCCCAAATGAGTACAAATCAAGGACCTGAAGTGCTGTTGAAAGGTTCGAACCACAATTTGTGTTACCAAACGGTCTCCGAATTTGACGTGCTTATAATCAAATCGAGCGGCTCGACGAGACAAATCCAACGAGCTTAAGATCGCCAAATTTCGACATCATTAAGACCTTCAAATGTCCATCAAATGATCCATGATGAAGGGATTCAACGTCGGCCGTCCATCCGAGCACTCCCCCTTTGCCCTTGATCTGTCACCTATTTACGGGTCATGCCACTCAAGAAATCTAGAAATAGACCCCTCATTCCTCTTGAAAAGGAGGATCGAAGCAAGAAGAGAAGAAGATAAGAGAAGGAAGATACTCCTCCTCGACCACCGTTGGAGTTTCGCCGCACCACCGCTGGACCTTCGCCAGACCACCACTTGAGGCCCTTTCCTCCGCCGGACCACAGCCTGATGTCGTTGCTTCGCCGGACCACCACTTGAGGCCCTCGCCTTCCTCGATCACCACCAAACTTCCGTCAGACCACCACTTGAGGCCCTCACCTCCACCAGACCACCACATGATGATGTTGCTCTGCCGGACCACCACTTAAGGTCCTCACCTCTGCTAGACCACCACTTGAGGCCCTCACCTCCGTCTGACCACTGCCTGATGTTGTTGCTCCGCCGGACCACCACTTGAGGCCCTCACCTCCACCGCCTGATGTTGTTGCTCCGCCGGACCACCACTTGAGGCCCTCACCTCCGTCGGACCACCACTTGAGGCCCTCACCTCCGCTGAACTGCCACTAGAGGCCCTGTGCTCTACCAAGACACTACCTGAGGCCCGGACTTCTGCTGGGCCACTAACTGACGCCTAGAGTTCTACAAGAGTACCACCCTACTATAACTATCTTTCTGACCTCGGTCTCCTATCGACTACGATTCTTCTGACCTCCGTCAACTTCTATGGTCCTTCCGACCTCCATCAACAGACAACGATCTTTCTGACCCCGGTACCACTTGAGGCCCTCACCTCCGCTGAACTGCCACTTGAGGCCCTGTGCTCTACCAAGACACTACCTGAGGCCCGGAATTCTGCTGGGCCACTACCTGACGCCTAGAGTTCTACAAGAGTACCGCCCTACTACAACGATCTTTCTGACCTCGGTCTCCTATCGACTACGGTTCTTTTAACCTCCGTCAACTTCTATGGTCCTTCCGACCTCCATCAACAGACAACGATCTTTCTGACCCCGGTCTCCTGCAGACTATGGTCCTTCAGACCTCTGTCACCTATTATGGTCCTTCTGACCTCCATCAACAGACAACGGTCTTTCTGATCCCGATCTCCTACCGACTACGATCCTTCTGACCTATGTCGCCTTCTATGGTCCTTCCGACCTCCATCAACAGACAACAGTCTTTCTGACCCCGGTCTCCTACCGACTACGGTCCTTCTAACCTTCGTCGCCTTCTATGGTCCTTCCGAGCTCCATCAACAATAACGGTCTTTCTGACCCCGACCTCCTATCGATTACGATCCTTCTGACCTCCATCGCTTGTTATGATCCTTCCGACCTCCATCAACAGACAACGATCATTCTGACCTCAGTCTCCTGCCGACTACGTCCTTCTGACCTCTATCGCCTACTATGGTCATTCCGACCTCCATCAACATACAACAGTCTTTCTGACCCCAGTCTCCTGCCGACTACGATCCTTCTAACCTCAATCATCTTCTATGGTCCTTCCGACCTCCATCAACAGACAACGGTCTTTCTGACCCCGGTCTTCTGCCGACTACGGTCCTTCAGACCTCTATCGCCTACTATGGTCCTTCCGACCTCCATCAACAGACAACGGTCTTTCTGACCCCAGTCTCTTACTGACTACGGTCCTTCTGACCTCCGTCACCTACTATGGTCCTTCCGACCTCTATTGACAGACAACGGTCTTTCTGACCCCTGTCTTCTACCGACTACGGTCTTTCAGACCTCTGTCGCCTACTATGGTCCTTCCTACCTCCATCAACAGATAACGGTCTTTCTGACTTCAGTCTCTTACCAACTACGATCCTTCTGACCTCCGTCACCTACTATGGTCCTTCCGAACTCCATCGACAGACAATGGTCTTTCTGACCCCGGTCTCCTGCCGACTCGGTCCTTCCGACCTCCGTCGCCTACTATGATCCTTCCGACCTCCATCAATAGACAACGGTCTTTCTAACCCCTGTCTCGTGCCGACTATAGCCCTTCAAACCAAACAAACATATCTATGTTAATTATTGTAACTCCCACCATGTAATGTGCTCTATATGATGTACATTTGTGACATCAAGCTAAGGCCTTCTCCGAAGGAAGGGCCTCATTTGTAATCGACTGCAAATACTAGTGGATTCATTCAAATCGAGCCAGGTCTCGTGGTTTTTCCCCCTTTTCAGGGGTTTCCACGTAAAAACTTTTGTGTATCTTATGAATGTTACACACTCTCTCTTATCTGCTTATGTGCTGGATCTTCATACAATGCTAAGATGTTAAACTATATATTTCTCTACCGCCGTGAATACTCCACGACACAATAATTTTAAAAAATAATATGCACATGCAAGAAAAAATTATTTCATTTGAAATTAATTTTATCATAAAATAAAAACAAAATAAAACAAAACGGTGAGACATTATATTCAATTGCATAATCAGGCAAATATAATCTCCTCTTTAAATCCTAATTTTCAATTATTATAAATACTTTATGATGACATATATGATAAGACATAACTCTATTTGTTGCGGATTAGAATATACGCGGCGATAGAGTTAGAAAATTTCCATCTCAGTGTTGTACGGATATCTAGCACACAAACATGTGAGGAATAGAAACACCATGATTTTTACGTGAAAATCTAGGAAAGGGAAAAAACTATGGGGCCACACCTAGTTTGAAAAAGTTCTAATAGTGTTTGCTCGAGATATAATAGGCTAACTCATCCTTAAAATTTAGGACGATCAGATAACAATGCTTTCACTTTCGGATTGAAATACAATTACAAACAAATTGTGTATTCGATCTGAATTCAGAGTCACTTAGAATTACAACGTCACTTAGAAATCGGGCAGACTTCCGGCATCACTTGGGCGTCGGACAAAATTATGGTGTCACTCGGGAGTCGGGCATAATTTTGGCGTCACTTGAGTGTCGTAGGAGTAGGGATGTAAGTGAGCCGAGCCCGCTCGTGAGCCGGCTCGAACTCGACTCGTTAACGAGCTCGCGAGCCGAGCTT